CTTGGGAAGGTCGGTGCAAATACAAGTCCAGTGTCCTCCTTGCAGGGATTGTGATTCAGTGCGCTCAGGTGGGGCCTGGAATGTGTTTGTTAACATGACTCAGATGTGCAGTCCGTTGGGGGACCCTCTGATACCACGGACCTTACAGTTGATGGGATGATTCTGTTTTGCTGATGAAGAAACCAAGGCACAGAGAGTCTGTAACTCACCCAAGTTCCCTTTGCTGTAAGTACTGGAGCCAGATCTCAGGTAGAGTCCCCCTCCCACAAGCCCCATTCCAAGTTTTCCAATTCAGTTGTGTGGTTTCTTTCCAAGTAAGTGTTTCTCTCCCCTGTACCGCATTTCTGCCCCCTGCCTCAAAAAAATGTGTTGGATTTAATTTGTTTCATCTAATACATTTCCTCTCAACATGCTGTCAGCAACCTATTCTGGCCACTTACTATGTGACATGCCTCTTTTTGAGACAGGGTCTCATCCTGTTACTCAGGCTGAAGTGCAGTAGTGATCATTGCTCACTGCTACCTCAAACTCCTGGGCTTACGTGATCCTCCTGTCCGAACTTCCCAAGTAGCTGGAAGTCTATGCACACATCACCATTCTGGCTAATTTTTTTTATTTTTTGTAGAGATGAGGTCTTGCTATGTTGCTCAGGCTGCTCTCGAACTTCTGGCCTCAAACAATACTCCCACTTAGGCCTCCAAAATTGCTGAAATTAGAGGAGTGAGCCACTGATCCTGGTCCTAAAAAGCTTTTTTTTTTTTTTTTGAATAAAAATATAGGGCATGGAGATGTGGAAAGATACCTCTCTGTATTACTGTTGTTATTATTATTACTTCTAAAGTATAATTCATATTTCACAAGATTCACCATTTTTATGCATACCATTCAGCGTCTTTTACTATGTATCAAAGGTTTTGCAGCCATCACCACTACCTAATATCAGTATACTTTCATAATGCCGGAAAGTATGCCTGTACTTACTGGCAGTCACTCTCGAAATCCCGCATTTTTGCCGTCCCTGACAAACTCTAAGCTACCTTCTCTCTATATAGATACACTTGTTCTGGGCATTTCCTGTATATAGAATAATGCAGCATCAACTTTTGCATCTGCATCTCTTACTTAGGACAATGCTCTCAAGGTTCATCCTTGTTGTAGCATGCATCTGTACTTCAATCCTTTTTGTGGCCAAATGATATTCCATTTTATAGTTATACCACATTTTGTTTACCTGTTCATCAACTGATGGTGGTTTGGAATGTTTCCACCTTTTCACTATTATGAATAATGCAGCTATGAACATCTTTTTATATGTTTTTGAGTGAACATCTGATTTTAATTTTCTTGGTTATATACCTAGGAGTGCAATTGCTGCATCATACATGACTTTATGTTTAAGTTTTTGATTAACTAACAGACTGTTTTCCAGTCTTGGTGGCTACAGCATTTTACATTCCCACTAGTAATACATGAGAATTCCATTTTCCCCATAACTTTCCAAACATATGTTGTGTTTTTGTTAACGTCACTCTTGTGGGTCTGAAATGGTATCTCGTTTTGATTTAAGTTTACATTTTCCTCATGAGGAAAAACATTGAACATCGCTGCATGTGCTTGTTGGCCATTTGTGTGTATCCTTTACAGAAATGTCTATTGAAACTTTTCCCATTTTTAAATTGTCTTTTTTGCTCACTTATATGAATTCTTTATATACTGTAGATACTAGACACTTGTTGGGCATATGATTTGCAAATAATTCTTACATTGTATGGATTATCTTTTCACTTCCTTGGCAGAGTCCTTGGAAGCATGAATGATTTTTTATTTTAATGAAGTCCATTTATCTTTCTATTTTGGGGTTGCTTGTGCCTATTTCAGAAATGTCTAATCCAGAGTCACAAAGATGTGTACCTTTGTTTTCTTGAAGACACATCGTTTTTGGAATGAGAACTCTTCTGGGTTTTAGTGGAGGATGGACATGGTTTATTTATACCACTTGTCTATTACCGATATTTCTCCTGATTGGTATTCACATGCCCAAGGCCCCTCCTTGGAGCATCCCATGGCTTGGAACAGAGCTCTGGGGACTGGCATCCTTCCACTGACTTTGATGCTGATGATAGTCCTGAACATGTGATTCAGCTGGCCTTAACCTAACCCCCATGCACGTATTCCTCAGGAC